AGCATGACAATCTAAACTATAGGTAATAGGAATAGAAACGCCATAAACACTACTAAGTCGACGCATTACTGCCAAAGCCGGGTGACCAAGAGAATGATGAAGTTCAGAGATAGGAGAACGAGATGTAGAGTAGACAATTGGAGAAGAGGGCCACTCATAGACACCATTTTTAGTTGGACCTTTGAGAAGAGGAGCTCCCGTGGTCAGGTCCTTCACAAGAAACCAATCTTCTTTAATTGCTCAAAAAAATATTAGAGGCACAATATTCCCGCCCAAATATGTCAACTTCGATTCTTCATTTTTAATTGCTCAAAAAAATAAATCGAATAAATGTATTCTGAAGATATGGCTTTGGCTGACAATTCAGATTTTAGGAAAAAGCTACTCCTATTAGCCGAATGTGGAGGTGTGAATAGTAATTCCAAAATTTTGAGGAATGCTATTGGTTCAAAGGGCAGTGTCTATTGTTCAAAAAAATTTTGAGTGGATGTTTTGGTTGCTTGCGTTTCATTGGTGGAAGAGGGTGGCCTGGTGTGAACAGTTAATAGAATGACGTCTACTTTGTCGTGGTGTGCACTTCAAAATAAATATTCAATACAATATACGTAGTATAACGAAGTAAGGTTCGTATCCATAGGGAAAGGAATATTTCTCTTTTTAATTTAATTAACTAAGAACAAAAGGGGGGGTTTAGGTTTGATTTGATTTAATTAATTCTACACTAATAAGATGAATGACTTATGAGTTTAATTAATTGAGATTAAGACTTGGTTTGCTTTTATCCACTTAATGAAATGTTCGTCGATCCCGGTTATATGTTTAACTATCTTCCTCTCGAATACTCAATCGAGGAGTATATCCAATTCATCGAGGATAGTTATTAATAACGAGACGCGTTCATTAATAAAACTTACTACCGAATTAATATAGAACACGCGCCGTATATTTACTCGATAGTAGCAATAAATTCAAGATGAAAACGATTGAAATTGATAACCTCAACACAAGCGGTTTATTGGTTTAATCAATATAATTAATTCCCCTTATATTATTAACCATGAGACGCATGCATTAATAATCCAAGTTTACTACCGTGAAAAGATCGAACGATTAACAAGCGTATTCGTCGATCGATTCTAGTAATAATTAATATATGAGACAAAACTAGTTGATCCTTTAAGTAATGCTCAAAATATTAAAATGAGATATGAATAGGAATTAATTAATATTCAAGGAAGAATATTAAAGAAGATACAAATCCTACTATAACTAATGTCAAGATGTTAACTAATTGTCATTTTAGTAACACTCCCCAACATTAATATAGAGGAAGAAAATAAATACTACTCTAACTAATGTCGAGATGTTAACTAATTGTCATCTTAGTAACACTCCCCAACATTAATATAGAGATAGTATTAAGGGAAAAATTAATATTCAAGGAAGAAGATTAAAGAAAATAACTCACAACTTACAATCCATTAAGCTTCAAAGTAGCAAAACCAAGATGGAAGAGTTTAGCTCCTCATTTGGAGACTAAACATGATAGAAAATATAACGAAAACACTAATCTAAACTGAGCTAAAGAGTATATGTGAATTGGTGATCAAATGGGAAGGAAAGAGGGTGTATTTATAGGTGTTTGGAGCTGCCAGGGCCATTTACCCGATCGTGTTTTTGAGAAACCCGATCGGGTTTCCTGAGAAATTGCACGGAAGCTTCATTAGTCACATTATACCCGATCGGGTTTTTAATTTACCCGATCGGGTAAAAGACAAATCTTTGCCAAATCGTCGCCATGCACGTTAAATTGCCTCCAAATCAGATTTGATCTTTGGATCAAGTCAATACCCGATCAGGTATATGCTTTACCCGACCGGGTAAATGACTTTTCCCCCAAATTTTCACTTGATCTTGTTCCCTTGCACTTTCCTTCACCTTTCAAAGGATCCTTTTGATGATCTTTACCTAGTTAAAGTTCAGAATAATTCTAATTTATACAAATTACAAACAAATAGGAAAAATAAAGTATTACACCAAAAGTGTATAATTTCCCAAACAACAACAAATAAGATTAGTTAAAATTACACACATAAACAAACATAATTCTATTTACCTATAAAAGCACACCTCCACCGGCAACTTTCATTCTATGCGCATCATGGCACCAGCCACCAATAAGGAACCCATTCTCTTACTAGCCTTACTTTCATGCCTAAATTTTTCATTTTTGTTAATACTTCGTATTGATTTTTTTCGTCCTGATTTATGTAGCTTTACCATTCGACCACTTCCAACATGGAACAAGCTTCAACATGCGGAAAAGACTACTAAATTTTAATATTATGTTCCTCTTTACCATTATTCTCTTTACTATAAATAGTTGATATTATCAAATCAGATTTCATTATATAAGTGTGTAAATCTGATTATATTTACACACTTATATAATGAAAGAAATACATTACACATTTCATCCTATATGCAATTTGATCGTTTAAACAATCAATTTTTTTTAAATTATACTCCATAGTACTGACAAATATGGGTATAAACTTGTATAGGAATAAGTTAAAATTAAAATGTAGTTTAATTGATGGCTCGGTATGAGTTTTATTCTTTTAATGCCTAGATTATTGAATTCTCATGTAGAAATCAGCATTGAATTATTTTTATATATGAAAGGGTTTTAGTTCATTTTATTTATGTGTTTAAGGTTGTCAATTCAAGGTGTTTCAGATCAGCCTTATCACTGTCCAATATAATGCTCGTCTTCATGCATTGTACTCCAAGGGCCGCATTCTCTGATCTTTCTGCTTCTTAATTATCCCCTTTAATCTTATGAACATAATATATAATGAAAATAATTCTCCAGATTCACATATTCTCTAGACTTTACATAGACTGATTCACATGTCAAAAACAATGGACGATGTTAATCCATTATATCTTGTGCCGGTTTAACATGCTTCTACATGATCCAATTCATTTGGAATAAATTAGATATATTCCTTGTGCATTTTAAATGAAATTCTAGATTAAAGAACATCTTCATTTTCAGTCCATATTATATATATATATATATAGTTTTAAAACTGTATATATATATACATATATAAATGTTTTAATTGTTAATAATATTAAAATTTGAGGCAAAAAAAATCCTACACGACCATCAAAATGTCATGTGTAGAGTCCACCATACAGCGAAGACGTGGACAAAAGTAAGGTGAAGTGGATTTCATATTTTAATGTATAGAATTCTGGTCACCACATATGATTCTTTGGCCGGAAATTTGAATAATATTGTTAATTGCAACATTATACTTCCCCTATCCCGCTAAGATTATCCCATTTTACATTTTTGGTATCTCCCACTAAGATTTTCTCATACCAAATTTGGTAAAGTTTGTGTGGTTCTAAATGATTCTTACTTTATTCTTACTTTATCAATTCAATATCAACCATATAAACCATTTTTTATTAGTTAATTTGTGTGTCACTTCTTTTTGTCTCATTGTTAGTGGTACGGAGAAAATATATAGTTATGGTACTGATTTGATTCATTTAAAAGTTAAAGTACCAAAACGCAATGCTACCAATATTTAAGGTAATATTTATGCATTTCACCGAAAAAACCTAATTATAACAAAAAGTAATAACCTTAACATTATTGTCCCCAAGTGTTATAAAAGATTAGACAGTAGCATATCATCCACCTCCTTGACGAATGTTTCCATTGCAAAAGCAGGTAAGCTTACTGGAACCATGATTCCATTCTTGAATGGTACATAGAAACTATGATACCCCGGGGACGGCACCGACACCTCCCTTGGCAACTCCGCCGTAAACCGGCTTTCCCCACCCGAAATCCACCTCGTCGAACCCTGCCCGTGTCAAGTCGGAAACATGATATGCCCTCACCACTGTGAAATATTTTGATTCATGTAAGAGTTAAGGTACCAAAATTGTGTCCTGAGGTACTTTCAAGAATCATTTGATCGATGACCAAATTGAAGCACAAATATTCGTTTCAAGAAGTTTCTAACCGGAACGTAGTTCGTCTGTGAAATTTTGTGAGCATCTTCTTCATGAATGAGCCCGTCACTAAACAAGTTTAGTGAATTCTCTAACCGGAACGTAGTTCGTCCGTGAATTTTCTAACCGGAACGTAGTTCGTTTAAAAAATATATGTTTTTTTACATTGGCCCGCGGACCAACCTGTTTAACCCACGATTTAGGTGGGTCGGGTTAGGGTTGTAGAAATTCTGATCCGTCACTAAACGGGTTGGACCGACCCAACTCACATAAAGCATAACTCGTCACGGGTCGGGTTGACCCGTTTGCATGACAGCTCTAATCCCCAAGTCGATTCCTTCACTGAATTAAGAGTCTTTGTCTAAAACACATGAGTATGAAGAGCTTCCAAGTGTACCGCCCCGCCTCATATTATTTTTCTAAAATTAGAGATGGCCCTAACTTGCCCCCAAAGTCCCAAACCTGTATTTTCTGGTCTGACCCACTGTTCTGTATTCATTTCTCCACCCCTAATTTAAATCGCATACTCCTAGCTATGTGTTTAAGGTCCGGACAGAGTCTCCTATAGAAGGACTTAATTGACTTTTTTATGAAAGTTTGAAGACCTATTTGACAGTTTTCCCTTATTGGAATTATGTATCAATTTGTAGTTGTTAATTTTAATAAATTTGAACCATTTTCACCAAAAACAACTTATTACGATTTTTGCTACGATTTTGCTACGATTTTATACGATTTTACACAATTTTAGGATGATTGTTTTACAATTTTGTACGATTTTATGATTTTACGATTTTACCTGCGATTTGAATCGCTTTATTAATGTAGAATCGTAAAATCGTACGATTTTACGATTTAAATCGAGATTTTAACAACCTTGGGGCCAAGTGGCCCGACCCGAGTCCACCACTAGTTTCTATGAAGTATGAACTATGAAGGATCCACAAATAATATCTCATTCCATATTATTTTCCAAAAACATTTTAAAAGAAATATTCATGCTATTTAAAAGAACGAACATTTTTTCTGACACATTTTCAGCAAAAAGTTAGTAAAAAAACTTCTATACTACTACTTGGTAGAGACTCACAAGGCAAATGATATTATACTCCTATTTACCTATAACATATCACAAAACAAGAAATAAATTTTGGGTTATGAGAGAAATTTTCATGATCTTTCAGAAATGAGAGAGCCTTGAGGCTGAGTCTCGTAGTGGAAACATTTTGAATCAGATGTACATGATGGGCTTCATTGAGACTTGGCAGTCTTGTCCTTCCACCCCATCTGGCGTGCCCTCGACTCCCACATTGCAGTCACCTTCTTCTGTGCCAGTAGGGTCGCATCGGCCTTTTCTCTGGCCTCCTCGCAAGTCTCCATCCCAGAATTGCACTTATCTGCTTCTTTCATGTACTGAGATGTCATCCTCTTTGCCTCTAACAGTGCAATGTCGGCTTTGTGCTGGTTTTCAGAGGCTTCAGCTTCTCGCGACTTTAATTCCTCAGACAAGAGCTCTGCGAAGTTCTTCTCCGTGTCTTCACCCACCTCGGGATCGTGCTTTCCACAATCTGTGAAATGTGGAAAAATGGAAAATGGTGGGAAATTCTATCAAATGTCACCCATCACATTGTTTTTCGACTTGAAAACATGAAAATCTTATTAATATAAAATAAAATTCAACTATATATGTCCTCATGGCTATGGTTTTCTAAAACAACAAGCTCATAGACACAATCAGTGAGCAATACTTCCATATTTCAATCCAAAGGAGGTGTTGAACAATGCTCATAACCAGCATACTGTTCTATAAGATCGAACTGCATCATCAGAAGCATTGGAAGAGCTAAACTCAAGTGCAATTGACAGTTAGAGCATGTTTGTGACACTTAAATTAATCTTAAGAGGCCTTTTATATTATAAGCTGTTCATTTACGCTGAGACGCCTGAGAGTTTGTAGCTTATTATGATTTCAATTTTCATTCAGCTGTTTGTATTCACACCTATTTTACCTAGTAAAACCTAAATGTTATGTTGCACTAACACAGATTTATTTATTTTAAAACCACTTTTTATAAAATATTACCTAAACAAAAGCTGATATAACCAATTGAATATAGTGATCATAGTTGAATATAATCCTGATCGATTGTATTAAACCAATTGTTGAAATGACATAAATTTTTCAGGTTTCACATAAGACGCTTAACACAAACACCAGCACAATTCTTCTGACTCAAGTAAAATACTGAGGAAATATTGTGTTTGTGTCACTAACCTGAAAAGGAAGCATTACTTAATCCTGCAATAAAGAAAACAAAATTAATGTCAGTTTTTTAGCTTAAAGGCGAAGAAATTTAAAATTAAAAAAATAAAATGACATCAATAAGAGGTTCAACGACCAATGTTATATATTTTTCATGTTGGTTTTGCAATACCAATCACGTAATGGACTAACAAATTAACAATAGCAAATTTGATGTCATCACAGTCTTATAATACTTTCATGCATATGAAATAATCTATAACAGTGAACGTTTTAGAGTTTTAATCTCATTATTCCTTCTTAAGAAGCCTGCAACAGGAAGGGAATCTTGTGCAAAGCATTGGGATTAAGTTTCATTTTCCTTCTTTCTTTCAATAATATATTGTTGAGGAATACAAGCATAATACGACGAATTAGCATTATAAATTCAAGTTCACTGTCCCCACTAGTTGGGACTAAGGTACGCATAATGATGATGATGATGATGATGAGCCTCTTGGCATCTACCACAAAAAGAAATGCATCTAGGCTTTGAACCTGATAACATATAGCTTATGCACAACTCACAAGTAGCCAATTGGCAATCAGCCCAAATTTGATGGTTCATGAAATCTTTGGTTTTTTTTTTCATTTTTAAATTCTTTATTTTATTCCTAACTGGTGGGGGGGGGGGGGGAGGGTGATGAGGACATGTTAGGTATAGTCACACACACTCACACATCATTTCAAGCTAATAATATTGAGTTGAACCGAAAACAAGGGAAGGGATACTTTTGAAGTTACACGCGCCAAAGTGGAGGATTGAAATTAACTTTTAAAATCTTTATAAATTAAGAAGATTGAAAAATAAAATGAAGACAATAAACTATATCGAAATACATTATTTCTAGTCTAAAACTAACAAATACAGATATATTAGTAGAATACAAATTAACCCCCCAGAAATATTTTAACCAAACAAGCTCCTTACAGCCTAGTATAGAATCATATATAACCCAAAGGACAAAATCCATTTCCAGAATTAGGCCTGCATGTACTGGTTCATTAAATGTCAGGGCAAATCTCATAGAGCCGTCCAAAAAGATTTTGTAGACGTATTGTGAAAAAGGGTTCCTATTATTATTAATTCCCATTATCAGTATGGAGTATTAGTTTACAATTATTATCTTATCATTGGTAGTGGTAGATTTATATTAGTACAGCTATTTTGTTTGAGTTAATATTTCTAATAGCAGTACTATAATAGGTTAGGTTGTTCTCATACTGGTGCTCATACCAAGACCCTTTACTGATTTAAGTTCTTTTCGTTTCATTTCCCAGCTCGTGAAATTACACTGTTTTTTAAATTGAAAAGACATTAGAGACTTTTTTCTAAGGAAACAACCATTATAATAACAAAGGAAGACAGGAAGTTAACAAAAGAATGACATTGTCTGATTTATTAGTATGGAAAGGAAGTTCTTACTAAATGAAGTTCTCACAGTTCCAATTTTGGCCAAGGATCTATTTTATGCTCAACTATGGTCTAAGTATCTATTATGAAGTACTAGTATATATTTTTACTTAACAGTAGAAAGCTACATTTTGATCAATCCACCGGAGCACTAAAGCTACTCTAATAAGGGCAAGGCTGTGTATTATTATCATTATAGAAACCCACAATCACTGCACCTGGCATAATGGCATCTAAATGGGAAAATAAGCAAAACCCAAACTTTTCGGAGCTGTTAAAAAGTGTATGTGTCCTCTCACCAAGCAAAGTGCATACGACGTTAATTTGAACTTCTACATTTCTATGAGCTCCATTAACAACCGTTTAAACGCTATCTATTCAATACTTACTTCAGCATTAAAGGAAAAGTGACCCGAAAACCCACTAGTGATTTCGTATTGTGGGGGGGGGGGATTACTAAAAGGGTAGATTGGAAAAATTCGTGAAAAGGAGAAAGACTGCAACTTTACTCAACACATGAACTAAAATTTACCAGATAATGAAAGATTTGCACTGTATACTCAAAAGCATTCACGCCCAGATAGCTTAGGACAGATGAAATACAAGGATCTACTTAGATCCCTACAAAAGAAGGGGATTTACCTTGAGGGATGGAGAGAAGGGGTAGAGAATTGCAGTCACAGGTACAAGGAGGACACGAGTAGTAGGAAGAAGAAGAACGGCTGACTGCTGCTAAGCCTTCCTTGAGGTGCCAATACAATGGCGGACCCAGAATATATCCCACCAAGCACACTCCCATAACCAAAAGCACCGCCTTCACCACCCTCAGTCCACATCTCTGCTGGTTCACCCCCATTCTCTCTCTCTCTCTCTGATCTGCCGACTCTTTCCGGCTAAATCGCACCAAGTTTCATTATCGTCGAAATAACTGAAGAAAAGTTGAGATTTTTAACAGTCCAAGTCGGCAGTAACTCTCCTGGGGTGATTTTGACTTTTTGCGCGATATTTTAACTTTCCATTAATCAAATAAAGCCTCTACTATTTCTCTTATTCCAACTCCGTACCCACGCAATTGTTTTCTCTGTTGTGGTGCCGATCGATACACGGAGAAGTGAGCGATGGTGCCCAGAACGGTTGGGCAATCGAATGCTAGGAACTTTACGCGGCTACTGACGAAAAGGGCAGTGTCATTCTCGGCTTCGAGCCGATCCACCGTGGAATCGGCTTCCGGTGACGGAGAACTCCGGCTGTTCATTGTTGCCGGGGAGGTTTCCGGCGACTCCATTGCTTCTCGTGTTATGGTCTCAATCAAAAAGCTCTCTCCTCTCCCAGTTCGCTTTGCTGGCGTTGGAGGGTAATGCTATTACATCTCTAAGATATTTCTGATTTTACATTTTTATTTTTTTCCATTTCTTGTACTCAAGTCTAAACTAGAAGAGCATTATAGCTGAGAGTTGGCTGCTTCGAATCTAATGCTGATCTAGTCACATTTTTTTGCTGTTTTATTCTGCGTATCTGGTAAAGTTAATTCTTTTTCCTTAGGAAGGAAACAAAAGGTGGAAGTTTCTAGAAAATTAGTAAATACTTCATGCTTCTTATTACCTCATTCAATATCATTTTCTTTCTTCTTTAATTGGATTATTATTCAGGCATATGATGTCAAAGCAAGGGTTAACCTCTGTCTTTCCAATGGAGGATATAGCAGTGATGGGTATTTGGGAGTTACTGCCACATCTTAATCAGTTCAGAGTATTCCACATAGTTATATGTTATTTATATCTTTATTTACATCTGGTAGTCTGTTTATATAAATACATTCTACACTGGAATCACAGCTTCGATTGGAAGAAGCCGTGCAGGCTGCTCTTAGATTTCGGCCTCATGCTGTATTAACAGTAGATGCAAAGGGATTCTCCTTCCGTTTCCTAAAACACTTGCGGGGTAATACATGACTCCACTTTTGATTAGTAAGGGCATTTCTATATTTAGTTTTTTTCTCCACACACTGGAAAAAATTGGTTTTTAGCTAAGTACAGGAAACAACAAGGGACGCTCGGCCCTTTGCATTTTCATTATGTTGCACCATCATTCTGGGCATGGAAAGGCGGTGAAGGTAGATTGGGTGGACTGGCTGAATTTGTGGACCACGTCTTGTGTATCCTTCCCTTTGAGGCTGAAGTGTGTAGATCAAATGGTTTAGCTGCAACTTTTGTAGGCCACCCCACACTTGACGATATGTTTGAGTTTGAGGTGAAACTTAGTTTTTAGGTGTTTAAATTTTACAATTAGAGAATACTATAGCCAAATTCGTTCTAAATGCGAAGTTTTTTACTCCATCGTCCTAATTAACGATGTTTGGCCTTGTTTGGTATAATGCCTTTTGGACCACTAAGCTGGGTGTATTTTCTCCTTGAAAAGTTTTTTTTGGTTCAAACATATAGTCTATGTTTGGAACTGGATCCCGGAATGGTCAGGAAAGGAAAGAAAGTACCGATGAATGTTACTTTCTCATGTTCGGTACTTCGGATTTACCTAACCAAAATGAAATATGATTGGTTCAAACTTATTTTAAAGCCAGTTTAGATTTGCTAGTATTTACATACGGAGTAATAGAAAAAAATGACATTGAACAGATTCTAGAAATAAATTTATGGAGTTTGAACTTTGCACCAGTGTTTTATTTTCCTCCAAACTTTCTTCCTTTCAAATTTCTCCTATTTTTCCCTCTTATTTCCCTTCCTTTCATTTTCTTGAGTGAGTCCAAAGAGTGATTTATGTAAGAATAGAAAATTTGCAGACATATTTCATTTTGTGCTTATTTCTCTCATCTTACACATATTTCCAATGTTTACTGACTTGAAGGAATATTTTTCAGGGGAGAGATTCCACAGAATATGGGTGGAAAGTTAAGGGGAATGCAGAAAAGTTTAGGAGTGACCATGGAATATCTACAGGTATAGCTACTTGTCAATATTTGGTTATGCGGTGTTCTTTTACATTTTCTCTTAATACCAAGCCATCCTTTCAGTATTCAATTTGTCACACTTCCGTTTTGCTGCTCAAGGGTAAAGAAAAAGGTCCTATGCAGTTAAACTCTATTACTTTGCATGCAAAGAATTCATTCAAAGAAAAAAGTAATGGCCTCTCGCATTAGAAAATTTGACCAACTTTGTAGTTGTGATTTGACTTCTGAAGGATCCAAAGTCATTTCCTTGCTTCCTGGAAGCAGATTGCAAGAGGTCACTAGAATGCTTCCCATCTTCAGTGACACCATGAATCAACTACAAGATTCCTTTCCGGAGTTGGTTACTGCTATCCTGGTCGCACCTAATTCACATGTGGAGAATTTCATAAGCGAAACTACCCGTGACTGGCTGACATCTGTTGTATTGGTTCCAGGAGGGTCACCGCAGATGAAGTACGACTCTTTCAGTGTAAGGGCACTTGCGGCTTGCACATTAAAATTCATTTTATGAAAGTATTTCTATTATAAAAATGCTATGAAACTTGAGTATGTACCAATTTTGATTTTATTTTTTGAAAAATTATTTCTATCCTTGATGCATTATTTTATTAAAAGAACTCTATTACGACGTATTATACAACAACAACAACATTATCCAATCCTTAATTTGAATAGAGTTTGGGGTCGACTATTAATAATAAAAAATAATAGTAAATAGTACCCCGTAATATATAGATTGAAAGGGAGTCAAACAAATCAGTCCATACGCACTCTCTCCACTCCATTCCACTCTCTCCAAAGTCTTATGATATAACTCAGGAAGTACCATATCATTCTTCACCACTCAATTTCTATTGTTATACTATCCTCCAGTCTTTAATAGTTGCAACAATTTGACTTTCAAGTTTGCCAACACAGAATTTTGACCGTAATTATATATAATTACGTATTAGTAAACATTATAAAAAGTTAATATTTCAGAAATTCACAATAATAGAAATTTAATAACCTTTTATACATAATAATTTGATTATATATATATTGATAGAAAATCGTGGTCAAAGTAAGTTATGTGAATAGTGCAAAAAAATTATACTACGTACTTCATATTTGATTATCAATAATGCATTTCCCAAGCTGAAGCCAAACGTAAACTAAAAAATTCAAATATAATTTTCCCCCTTCCCTAACATTTTCCATGAACCAAATTCCTAAGTACAAGCATACCTTAGTGTAATTAGAGACTAATTATTGCAGGATGATTTGATGATCTGCCAGATTTTTTTGGGTGTAAATATAGGGTAGCAATGTAGCGCTATGCACTTCCGGGACGGTGGCAATGGAGTTGCAGCTAGCACGCCTACCCTGTGTTGTTGCCTATCGAGCACACCTCCTAACAGAATTGTTCATACGTTACAAAGCTAAAGTGTCCTACATTTCTCTTCCTAACATCCTGTTAGATTCAGCTATTATACCAGAAGCTTTGTTTAATGATTGTACTCCTTCAAGATTGGCAACATTGCTCAGGTTAGCTGCTTTTGGAAAATAACTTTCAATTTGCTAAAGTTTCTCAAACTTTGGTTAGTATTATTTAGTTGCTTAGATCTCTGGAAAATGAAATAAATATATTTTGAGGAAAAAATTGTACTACCCAATCCTAAACTATTGCTTACTTTGACTGGACATGGAGTTCAAGAAAGGGAAATATGTGCTGCTAAGTTGTATTTAGAAGACAGAAAAAATAGGGTGAGCCACTTATTACAATTTTCCGTAAACAATCAGCATTAGTTTCTGGAAGGATAAAAAAAGCATTTTGTTTGTTAGCACGAGGTGCTTCAAACTTCACCGAACCAATCTTGAGCTCAGAAGAACCCTCCCTAAACACTCGAGAAAAATAAGTCCAAGTCATTCAAACAATCCCCTGAGTTCCCTCCACCGTCTACATCACTGCCCAAAAGAAGTCATTCTTAAATGATTCTTTACATGTGTCCTTAGGTTCCAAACACACTCCTGGAAGAACAGTCACTGATTGATCAAACACAATCAGCATCCTATCAAGAAGCGTACTCACACATTGTCGCTTAATGTAAGTTGAAATACTCAGTGCGCGACCACTCGAACTAGCCCTAAGGGGCTAGAGGGTCATCATTTGGGAAAAGCCTCCTAAATTGACCTTCTTGGCGACTTCAACTCAAGACCTCCCGCATGGGAAGGATTTTAAGTGTGGTAGATGGTCTACTTGAAAAATATATGTAGATAATGTAGGGGCAGGAGTAAGAAAAAGGCTATAATAATCAGCTTTAGCTACTTCCTTTTGCGCATTCAAACAAATCAGAGTTGGGTAAAGTAGCTACCAAACAGTAACTTACTAGATGACTCATTGATTTCTTATTTTTGCAGGAATTTGGTTCTTGATGAAAGCCTTCGACAAAAGCAGATGATTGGTGCGGATAAGGTGATTGGATTACTTAAGCTGCCCGAACTAATAAACGGCAGCTCGACACAACTGATTGGTTATACAGCTAGTATGGTTGCAGCTTCTACCATTCTCTTTTCCAGAAGGACATGATTGCCCTTGAGTTATTGGGAGGTGTGATGACATCACCATCTTAATTAAGTAAGTACGCGGAATGCAATCAATTTATATCCTCTATTAGAGTATTTACAGTCATTGAAATCAAGAATGAACATGAATCATAATCATTAGACATAAAATGAATTTTAAAGTCCAATAATTATATAAGGATGCTAATTACCTAGAAGTCACAGAATTACCTAAAACTTTTCTTTATCGATGTGATTTTGCAGAAGGTTATCAAATTTGCACTTGTCATGGAAATTTTTATAAGCTTCACCTTTTTAGATTTGCATATTCCATCTTACGGACATAACAATGATACTCTTATGAAAATCACCTTCAGGTGAGATTTTGTTTGACCAAAGAATGATACAAGACATTTTAGGGAGACACGTGGGTCGTGGTGTCAAACTCCACGAACTTTCAGATGTGCTTGTAGATGCATCATTAGCTTTAGACGACTTGTTGTGTATGGTTGATCATTTTAAAAATATGTTGCAAGTTGCAGATCAACCTTTACAGGAAGGTTGTCATTAAAGGCCACAATTGCATTGTGGGTGACGTGATGAGCATAGAATATGATTTTAATGTATCACAATATGAAATGAATGGGTGACTGAAATTATTTAGTCAATACTTACCTCGTGACAACAATGTCTCAAGAAATTATTACAAGGCAACTAAACTTATGGCAAATTTAGATCTTTTAGTGGTAAAGACTGAAACTTGTCTAAAATATAATGTTTGCTAGTTTAAAAAATGACAAGAAATTAGAAAATGTGGTGAGGATCATCACATGTATGATGCAAATGAGGAAATCCTGTCAAAGAGATGTAACCAAACTACAATTATAATCATGGTGTATTATGAGAGTTTAGACATTGATGGCAAAAGAGGTTATATAAATGGTGTCAAATAGCTTAATCAATAATATGGCATGTGGAGATTGAGTCAACTGGAGCTTGAATGGGTCATCCTTCACAATGAAATGTCGAAGCAGATTGATGAAATGTGTTTTGGTTTTGCCTCTGAGTTACATCATGTCTAATTTGGTGTGAGATCTGATGGATTTGCTATCAATGTTGAAATTTTGTGCATTATAATTGTGTTAGCCTGTTAGTCTTATCACTTTTAATCTTCTCCTGGTATGTGCTTGAAAACTCCATATATATTTTCTTATCTCTAATAATTTCACGTTCAAAGTGTCGTAAACAAAAAAAAATGATATTGATCTCCAACCACTTATTGATGAATTGAAACACTTGGGGTTAAGGATCTACAGTTCTACACTAAGCAAAAAATCAGTCCATATACATACTTTGTGTCGAAAAGTGGGCGTTAATGTGTCGATGCAAATGCCTCAACACAAAAATATTACTAGTGTTGACACTAGTTGACGCAAATACAATTTATCTTTGAAATAATTGCCTCAATATTACTAATTAGCTTTCCATTTAAAAAAATATGACTTATTTGCCTTTTCCCAAAAATATGACTTGGACTCTTCCGAAACTATGGGTGGACCGGTTCTGGTTCGGGCCCGGTTCGGGCCTGGGCCTGGCCGGGCCTCGGTTCAGGAATGGGAGGCCCGGAACCGGCCCGGGTAATCCCGAGTCCGGGCCGGGTCGGGCCGGGCCTCGGTTCTATTTTTTTTTTGGCTTTTCCTAATTAACCCCCAATCCTCCCCCCAAACCACCTCAAATGGCCCAAAATACCCAGCCCAACCCAAAAACTTAAAAAAAATTTAAAAAAAAAAAAAATTGGCCCGAATCGGGCCCCAACCGGTCGGGCCGGTTCGCCAATCCTAGGGCCCGGGCCTGAACCGCACAGTAACTGGGCCGGGCCGACCTGAACCGCCCCCCGGACCGGTTCCCGGGCCGGGCCGGTTTAAACAGTAACCGGGCCGGTTCCGGGCCGGTTCCGGGCCGCCCGGGCCGAGTCCATCCCTATCTGATACCTAGCGTTCCAGCCCATTCCCTATCGCAGTCTTCTTTCATCGCAGCTCACATCTCCACGTGCAGCCCTCCTCCATTTCTCGTTCTCTGCGTATGACACTCTGCTTCTCTTCAAATCTCTGTCGCCGCTTGGAATGGAGAATCCAGCTGTCTGCTGTCTGCGTCGCTGGGAAGGGACAATCTGGCCGCCTGCGTCGCTAGTCATCTGCATCGCTAAGAAGGGAGAACCGTCCAACTGCGTCGCTGTGAACGACCTTCGTCAACGGCATCCTTCGTGCAACGTCGTTGCCTCTCCATCCTCCTTGCGTGATTGGACCACATCGTTGCATCGTTATGTTCTTCCATTGTCGTCGCCTCTATCTACGCCAACAGTTTCAATCGTACAGATCCATCAATGTCCAGATCTAGATTTGCGACGGCGTCTAGGGTTAGGTTACGTTAGTTGTAGGCTTGGTGGGGTCACGGTAGGGATGGCGGCGTCGTGGTGAGGGTTGGTGGTGGATTATTGGGCAATCACGGGTTGGGGGAAGTGCTAGTCACTGGTCGTGTTGGCGGCGACAGGGGCTGGCTAGGCGGCGACCGAGGAGGGGTTGGGTTAGGGTTGGTGTAGGAGAGGATCTGGGTTGAGATTGGTGTAGGAGAGGGGCTAGGATTGGTGCCAGGCGACGGTGGGAGGTGGTGGTTTCCCGTGTGGACGGTGGTGATGGAGTTGGGGGCGGGCAGTCACTATGATAGGTCGATGGGCAGTAACTATGGTTGGTGTGCGGGAAGTCACTGTGGTCGGAGTCACTGTGGCGGCGGGGCAGTCACTGTGGCGGCGAGGCAGTCACTGTGGCGGCAGGGCAGTGACTGTGGTCGGCGGGGCAATCACTGTGGTCGGTGGGGTCACTTTGGCCGGAGTCACATTACTCGTAGCCACTTTGCACTGCAGGATTAATTGTGATGATGGGGTCACATTTTTGGAATTTTAAAAAACAGATCACTTTTTGTGTTTTATCCTATTTTTAGTAATATTGGAATAAAAAGTCCTTTATCTTTTGTGTCGACACTGTCAACGCAAAAAGGTCATGTGTGCAAAAAATTAAGAATACCATTTGCGTTGACTTGTCGACGTTAAAGATTCTTTTTTTCTAATAATAATAATAAATTACAATATATTATTATTATTATTATTATTATTATTATTTTCTCAAACATTAATTATTGTCACATCACAATATCCTGAAATATGCAAAATGCACCAACTAAGTTATTAAATTACTAAGACATTGGCAACAAAACAAACATGAGTTGGAGCATAACTCTTTATCCTGAAAAGCATAAATACACATTCAATCATTACTTAACGAATAATGGTAATGATAGATAAAATGGTTATAACCATGAGTTAGTATTTTATCACCCACGGGCTACAACTCATTTTCCATCCTCCCATGATGTAGGGGTAAATCTGGAGGTTATAACAAACTGATTATAACCAACCATTAGTTTACTGAAATGTAGGCAAACTGTTTGTTATTGTAAGTCCTAGTCATATGTATTTTACAACAAATAAGTGATAATTTAATATATAGTCATTTAATAAAATTTTATTATTGTTTGTGGTTAGATCATAGCAAAAATGAATTATATTAAATTTTGGATCCTATGAATAATTCACAATATCTATTACTTCCTCCGTCCCAATTTGATGATCTTGTTTCTTTTGGGCACAAAAATTAAGAAAGTGTGGTAGAAAGACTAAAGAACCTTACTTTATTGTATTGTTCATCTTTTTATTTTTACTGTTCATTAAAAAGGATGGGTATAAGTGGTAATCCACTTTTAGTTCTATACCAAAAAGGGAAACAATAGCATCATTTTGGGACATCCCAAAAAGGAAATAGAGGATCATCATTTTGGGACGGAGGGAGTAGTATACTTCATTTTAACTCATATCAAATTGGTATATCACCGATCTATAACTCTTTTATAGATTTTGGATCCTATAAATAATTCCATATAATAATTGGTTTATAACTCTGAATAAGAGATTGACTCATATTATCGATCTATAACTCTGTTTTACTATATAAAATTAAAACAATAATAGAGGACCATCATTTTAGTACGGAGGGAGTAGTATATTTCGTTTTAACTCATATCAAATTGATATATCATCGATCTATAACTCTGTTATAGATTTTGGATCTTATGAATAATTCCATAGAATAATTGGTTTATAACTCTGAATAAGAGATTGGCTCATATCATCGATCTATAACTCTGTTTCTAAAATTTATAAACACCAATGAAAGTAAGGATATTTTAGGTATGAAAAATGTGTTGGTGTAATAGTAGTGCTGAATGGAGTTGTACGCTGTGTTCACACGTTTGTACATTTTGCTTTTGGCCTCTTCCCTCCATTATGTCTCCATCTTTAAGCCGTGAACTTTGAGTCATTATTAGCATTTCCCGTGAGATATGTTCTGTTTCCTATCAGTTGGCCTTATTTGTTAATCCAGAGACCATCTCTCTTCCAATTTGGCTCTTCACATACCTTAAAACGAACCAAATACATTACACATGATATCGTTGGGCAATAGAGAAGAATGGATTAAAAAGCATTGATTTCCTCTCTTTTCTTTCTCGATCATCATATCGGTAAGGGTCAATAAGTGCTTGTATTTTACATTACAGTAAGCCTTGTACCAGTTTCTCTTAATTACGCGCCTAAACGTTAATCTACTACAGTAGTTATCAAAACATAATCGGTAACCCCTAGATGGCTACCTCGATCCGTTTCCAATTACATTTACAAACTACGTAGTATATTGTTGAATAGAAGACCTTAGTTAACAAGATGAACTTGGTCTGGTCTACCATGGATGTCTTGGTCTGGTCTACATCTCATTAGCAGCTAAAGATGCTCAAGATGAACTTGAAATTAAGATACTACGCGTTTCAAACACTCTTCTTGGGTAACAGGGTAAGGCACTGTTGTTTTCATGGTCGTTCATGATTTTTTCAAGTAATATCGAGAGCACTATTTTTCCTTTGTTATGAAATTGTTATATTTTTTCTAGCTAGGATAGTTCGTTTTCTTTTAATGTTTACTATTCAAAGGTGTTCACTTTCATGTACTAATTATAATGAAAAAACATTAGAGTTTATATGAACCTTTTCCTTGAACCAGAAGTATTAACACACACCCTATATAACTTTTTAGTCTGAATTTGGAGAAAATGAAAAACCAGGTAAGCGGAAATAGGGAGATTTATACAAATAAGTCTAAAACGTATAAAATTTCCAAATCTAGGATTACAAACTGCCGCAGGACATAATTGCATTTGTATTGACCATTATACCCTTAATATAAAATCAGATTATAAATCCCCTTCTCCAGGCATACCGGACGATGCCGCTTTTGACGAGGACCCAAGCGAAGAGCTCTTTCTGGAAGACAATTTCGACGCGATGAGGTACCAAATCCTTCATACGCCGGGGTTCGGTGACGGTGGTGGCTAGGGCTCGACGATGGCGACGGTGGCTAGGGTTTTGCGATGCAGCAGCGGCTAAGCTTCAAGCTTCGGAGATGGCGACGATGGCTAAGGTAACAGACAACTGAAGTCTAGATTTTGAGGACGGAGGGGGGAATGGTGGATTGGGGGTCGGGGTTGTGGAGATATGGGATAGATCCGGGTTGGGGAGGGTGGATCGGGGGTTATGTGGGTTGGTCGGAGCTGGAGCTCGAGCTGGGGAGGGGGGCTGTGGGCAGGTCAGGAGGCTGGGATGTGGCTGGAGCTGGGTGGGGGTCGGGACTGGGGAAGGGGCAAGGGGCTGTCGAAAGCGGCACTACCGTTGTGTTGCGGCGGCCGGGGTGTTGCGGCAATTACCGGGGTGTTGCGGCGGTGACCTGGGTGTTATGGTGGTGGTCGGATTTGCCAATTTCGAACTTCTATTTCATATTTTTACAACGCCACAGGTACTCTGCAAAACGTTTGAAGAAACCAGATCCAAAACCAAACTTGCAAACACGGGACAATACATAGACATTAAGTGGTCAGTAAACAGACAATAAGTTCTAATAATAGTTCAATAGCAGGCAATACATAGACATTAAGTAGTCATTAAACAGACAATAAATTTTGATAATAGCTCAATAGCAGAGCAGGTCACGTAAAACAGTAAGTGAAGGGTAAAATTGGATGTTTAAAATCCAGTTTTCAAAAATAGAACTACATGGCTCTTACGCAAGGAAAAAACGTACGTAGGTCCCAATTTTAAAAAGGAGCTATGATTTGATCCTACCAAGTGCAAATTTCTGGCGGAAATAAAGATTTAACTCATGTAACATGTGTCGTTATAGATAATTCAGTAATTCTAATAGAAAATATCAATTATGCTATTAGTAACTCATTTAGTAGATAGGGAAAATAAATGTTTTGGGTTTTGTCTCTTTGAAGGGAGTGTTGTTGATGTTAAATTTTGTTAATGGATAATAATAAAACTAACCCTCAATCACATAGAATAAATCAAAGATGCCTTGATTTTTCGCATGGTCTAAGTCTCCTTCTTGCTGCAAAATCATCACCGTTTCCTTGAGATAAAACCAAATATATAAAAGTCGGACTCCATTTGTCCTGTTCTCTCTAGATATGTTGGATCTTGTTTTGACTCGTATGATTATGGGTTCTCCTTTCTTGACAAGCTTAAGAAAGCAAACCTCTATGTTAGCTTTTGTTTGCAAATTTTAAAAGCTATCAAGTGGTTTGCTTGATGATGGATGAGATCTTTGGTATACAATCAAACTTGTATATTATGTTTTAATAAAATTACACCAAATGGTTAGCAATAAATCATGCATAGCAATATTTTGAATATGCTAGATTAAACATGTCGTTATGTTGTATCCACTTTTCTGCTTTTTTTTTCTTGTTTCTTTTTTTGCTTTTTCTCCACATTTGATTTGGAACTGGTTAGTGGTTATAAATTAGAATGCACGTACAGTTTTGCTTCAATTTAAGAAATCCTTTAAACTATGGTGTTTTTACATAGTACACAATAAGATCTTATTCTTTCTTGAATGATTCTTGTTTTATTTATCTCTAATTTATTTATATGTATGTGTAAAAGTGAAAATATCAATTGTCCTCGATCACGATCCAAGTGGCTTCATGCAAACTTCAGATTCTTTTAATCTCATTTGAAAGTATAACATTTGTATATAACATTGGGCATTTATCCACTCGCGCAACGCGCGTATAAAAAACTAGTTACTATATAAAATTAAAACAATGGATATAACTCTCAATTGTATATTTATGTCATAATAATTACGTAGTACCTATTATAATCTATCTCTTAAGCATTTGAGATATTCTAACACTCATTCTAATTTGTATCTAGCAGCATTGAATTATGGAGTAATAGTGAAGAGTACGTTAGGGTGGAATAATCCACAACTTTAACTAACACTATTACAAATTAAAGAGTTATTTCAATTTAAGAAGTACGTATGTTATTAATTGAAACACTTTTTCTCCGTGCATAAACTCCCTTCGTTCCTATATAAAGGTCCCCAACATACATATTTTAGATACTTTTTGGTATATCTCTAGAACTAGAATGTAGGAGAAAATGTGTCTAAAATGAATGGGGACTTTAAGGGGAAAAAAGCATGTTAAACACTTTCATATAGTTCTAGATGAGAAAAGCATTTGAGATATACGCAGTACTAAAGGAGTGTTTGGGGTTGCTTAAAAAAAGCACTTTTCAGCTTTTGACTTAAAAAAAGTTAAAAAGAGTGTTTTCAAATGACAGCTTCTGCTTAAATTAATCACTTAAAAGCTAAAAGCTGGAAGCAGGTAGAAGGGTGCTTTAAACAGCTTCTCACTTTTTCTATTACACAAAAAGTACTTATTTTACCAAACATTACCAACTTTTACTTTTTCAGAATCACTTTTTTCTCAAACACTACCAACTTTTAGTATTAATCACTTTTCTCAAAATCACTTTAAAAAATCACTTTTTTAAAGTTGAAGCAATTGCAAACACTCCCTAAATATTGTAAGCACTTTTTTGTGTCATCACTTTTTCTCTTACATTCTAGTTCATAGATAGATAAATTCAACTTTTAGTAACTAATAGCTTAAACTTTCAAGATTGACCATGAATTAACCTCAGCTCCTATATACAAGCTGGTAATAAGGTCTTAACATAACTAACAATTCAACAAAGAATTATTATTACTCCCTTCTACGCCCGAGTCATATTCTCGTCCATGTGGTACGTACTTGCATGGTCTTCCCTTCTCTCATCTCCTAGACTTACTCAACATACGACCCCATATTTCTTGCCTACTCTTTTGCTTTTGATCTCTTTGTACGTACGTACTTTCTTCTAGCTTCTTCTTCAAACCCACCCTTTTTCCTTTCTTCTCAATTCTTCTTCTAATCTCATCACTAATTTCTTTGCTTTCTTGACTTTATTTATTGTGTGCTTACTATAGATTAAATATAACTATATATATGGACGAAAGGCGAGGTGATGAACTCTCCTCTTATCATTCAGATGCGCCTCTAAGAACACCCCTTTCCTGTTATCTTCTCCCGTCCTCGACCTCCTCCTCATCTTCTGTACTATCAATGGAATCTTTGGTCAACGAAAAGTCTCCGCCACCGACTATCCAATTCCCGGTGAGCCACCTCATAAGCTCCGCGGAGCGCCGCCGCCAAGATGATGAAGAATGGAAGGGTTTAGATGAAATGGACTTCTTTGCTGACCATACCAAGGATAATAATGTCGTTATCTCCGATAGCAAGGAAGGTCTACACCGACAGGAACCCGACTTGGATTTCAGCATAAATGTAGGTACTCCGTGCATTTACAAATATGTATACTTCCACCACTTCTAAATGAAATTCTCAGTTTCAATTCGATCAGTTATTGTGTCATATTCACTATTGCATGAGAGGAGATAAGGTGTGAACAAGTACTATCAAGAGCACTGGGAATGTATGTTAAAATAAAACCAATTCTAAAACAAGTAGACATGAATTATCTATGTTTCGAGTAAGAGGCTTAGGCTACAAATATGATGGGGCGTGTAAAATCGTATGGTGAGTTTCATGGATTAAGTCTAATTTTAAATGAAAGTATACCCATAATGCAAGATAGATATTCATGTTTTGCCCAACAATTATACTACCTCCGTCCCTAAAAACTTTGCCAAAGTTGACCGGCACGAAGAATAATAAAGTAAAAATTGTGTGGTTGAAGTTTGTGTAGAGAAGAGAGAAATAACAGAAACTATAAAATAATTGATGAAAAGGAAAAGTGGCAAAATGTTTTGGGACATCCTAAAAAGGAAAGATGACAAAGTTTTAAAGGACGGATAGAGTATTTAGTTTTCATGGCAGCTGCACAAAAATTAAAGTAAATTTGTCAGTATTTCTGAGTATTTGGTCATGATTATATTACTAACATGGTCGGATCTTATGATAATAAAAAATGTGTGTTTCGGAAAATACATCAATATACGGTTGATATGTTAGAAAATGGTGAAATTTCAATAGTAGTAGGGGATTGAATCTAGTAATTTAGAGAACTTGGACCGGAGGTACACATTGGGTAAATGACATTTTACACCGCCATTTGCCTTTTGTGTATAGCTTGTGTCCGACCATCCAACTACTTGACAATATATACAATGATGCGACACATTTTGAATTTTCATAGCGTTTAAGGGTTGGTTTGCAACCCCTTATAAAAAAGCACTTCTCAGTTTTTGATTTTAAAAAAGCATTTATTTTCCCAAACACTACAACTTTTATTTTTCTCGGCTTCCGCGTCAAAAGTGTTTTTACTTTTTCTATTACACAAAAAGCACTTATTTTACCAAACACTACCCACTTTTACTTTTCAAAATCACTTTTTTCTCAAACACTATTAACTTTTATTTAATCACTTCTCCCCATTTCATTAAAAAAAAAAACTTTTTTAAAAGCATAAGCTGTTGCAAACTGACCCTAAGTACTTTGGTTGAAAAGATGTATAGTAGAGAGGTATCGGTTTATTAATACTCCTCACATAATGAAGAGAGTATCGCGGTTGGTGAATATTTTGTCACACATTTTACATCAAAAATAAGATATATCTCGATGTTGTGAGTTTAGTTCCAAGCGTAAAGATACATTTTAAAATACATAGCAAATCCAAATCTAAATATATTAAATAAAAAAATGATATTCATAACTACTTCATCTGTTCTTTTGAGTTGCAGTGGTCAATATTTCACATTTGTCAAAACACATTTTTAACCGTAAATATTATTCTCTATTAGTAAAAAAATTAAAAATAATCAGTTTTTGAAAATTTGTAATGAGATGAATTGAACAATATTTAAAAAAACAATTATAAAATAATATTGTAAAATGTAGTCAAAGTAGAGCATTTGAATAATGTTGAATTCAACATGTTGCAATAAATAAAAAGAGGATAGTATCTTATGTATTGTAAATTATTGGTGATGTTTCTAAGAAGATGGTTGAACTGTTGAAGTTAGAATCCAAAACAATTACTTGGTAAATTATAGTCCGTATAATTGAGTTGATCTAAGTATCTAACAATCACCGTTCATAGAACATATTGTAGTGAAGCTATTGTGAAAGGATATCATAATATGGAACTCATAGGCTTGATTTTTATGATTATTTTTTAAAATAATCATAACAAATATCATGATATGGGAACGTATAAAATTGAAAAATTCCACTATTTTATACTTCGTTATATAATAAGCTATAATTAGTGGTGATAGATTTTTATGATTATTTTGAAAATAAACTATAAGGTTTGAAATCAAGTTTTTCCCAATAATTTATTTCTCTAGGCCCCCACTGAGAGGAGCGTTATTTACTTATTTATAATGACATACTCCGTATTTCTATAAAAATATCAAAGTAGATTAATTTAGGTTTTGCCCCATGCATGCATCAAACGAATGGTTAAGAAATATTTGTATGTTGTTACTAAAAGTAATTTTTACTAATTAAAGAATCAAAGTAAATTAATTTTTATTCCAAATTAATTAAACTAAAGCTGCATTTTGAGATAATGATTAAATTAAATTTTACATAAATTTAACATGAGTTGCTATACATTTGTAGACTCGCTTGGGCCTTCATACTGCAAATAACGCTAACGATCACTCAATGGTGGAAGACAGGTTGCCACCTGCCGATTGCGAGGAAAATAACATGAGTGAGGTAATTCACTTCGCTTAATTATAGTAGTATTAGCTTTTCTCTTTTGTTTTTGGTTGCTAGAGACTTAGGGCATGTTTGGTTCAAGCTAATCACTTGCAGGCCGGAATCTCATGTACGGAATGTGAAATATATGTGATTGGTTCGCGGGTTTGATATTTGAAGGGAATGTTACATTCCCTAAAAGAGAAGAAAGTAATGAGATGTCCCTTCAAACTCACTCACCTCCTAGGTTATCTTACATTTCTTGATGGGAATGTATTCTAATATTCTATTCCAAAAAACTCATTCTCATTTAACCAAAATGGTTAAAATAGCATATTTATTTTTTATTTTTTCTTAACCCAACCACATTGTTTTTTTTTAAGAAACTCATCCGTATCGGATTAAAAAAATACTAACATGTATACTTTTGAATTTGATTTGTTAAAAATTAATGAAGTAATTACACATATATGAAATTATGACTAAAACAAAATATTGTCTAGAAAAATGTGACTAGTGACTACTATGGTAGTAACTTAATCATAGTAACTTATATTGAATTTTTAAACTTAAGTAATCATAATACTATATTGTACTTGTATCATGATACTTGTAGTACACTTATTAAACTGTTTCAATTCCTTAGTTTGAAAATCTCAAGTCATATGCTTTATATTTATCTTACTTTATTTAATACTGATTTCAGGTGTACTTTTATTAATTTTATTAGTAAACACTTAAGGAGAAAATATGGCTCCATATAACAAGTTTGATGATGATTGAATTGATGCTTTAATTTTGATATATATTCAAGCAGCTAGAAGTGGTGAAAGCTGATCTAGAGAGAATAAGCAGTGAGAATCAAGCCCTAAAGAAGATGTTGCATCAGGTGACGGACAACTATAGTAATCTTCATAAGCAAATGATCACCTTGATGCAACAACAAAAGAACGACAATGGAAAACTATTGATACAACAAGACAACAACAACAACAATAATAGTAATAACGACTCCTCTGGTAATGGGGAGCGGCGAAAGTTGAGGCCAAGGCAGTTTGTGGATCTTTGTTTGGCAACTGGAACATCAAACGAAGCCGATGAAACTTATAATAACCACTTGCCCCGCGCTGTGGAGAGAGCTTGTAGATCGTCAGCATCTGGAGAAGACAGCCCCGAGAAGGGGTCTTCATCATCTGGTTGGGGAGCCAACAAGGTTGTGCCGACACTTGAGGAAAGTGGTTGTGATCAGGCTGCAGCCACCGAGGCAACCATGAGGAAGGCCCGTGTCTGCGTTAGGGCTCGATCCGATTCACCAATGGTTCGTATTTACTAGCGTCTATTGCACTTTTCCTTTCCTCTTAAGCATTCTCAAGTTTCAACGATTAACTAAAGTTCATCACAATTGACTTGAAAAGTTAAAGATAACTAATTAATAAGGGATGTGTAGTATTTAAAATCGAAATCATAAGCTGGCCGGTCATTGTAGTTATTGCTAATAATGTATTTATCTAGGGATTACTTTGTAATCTTCAGCACTATGTTTTATTATAAATATAAGGTCAAGGCACCCAAGAGGGTAAGCCATTATTTTCCCAAAATTATTATTTTGTATATGGTATCAGTCGCTAGGGTTTTCTGATTCATCGTTCACGTCATGGCCGGCGTTCCTATGACCAACGCCGCCCCAACAGTCACGGCGCCCATTCCATCGGAGCAGCCGCAATCTTCAATACCGGTATCATCCACCATGCTAGACAGCTCTGCGGCTTCGTGGTCCAGCAGTACCACTCGCTCACTGCCACTTTCTTCCGCCGTCATTCAGCCGCCATTCACCGATGCGCAGAATCGCTCTCCGCTTGCAGCGTCACTATCACAGCAAATTGCCTCCATCCCGTCTATGGAGTCCTACCGGTTATTTCAGATGCCAGAGCCTTTTTCTTATACACCGACCCCTCTAACTCCTCCACCCATTGTTACTACCATGCCTCAGGAAATAGGCAGTCAAAATATGGACTTCTTTGGCCCCACCTTTTCAGGTCATCATGGTGTGGCTCCACTGATGAACGTCCAACAGCAAGGTATGCCTGGCTTTACACAGCCTGCATCGTTTTTATCTTCTTTGGCTTCACAACTTGCCTTTTCTACACCCAACGTGAATAATATTGTTACTACACGATTATCTGCTGTTGAAGATTATTTGCCCTGGCGTACCCAGTTTGAATCCTTCTTAGTATCTCATAGTCTCTTAGGGATACTAGATGGATCCATTCAGGTACCGCCACCTACTGTTTATGACCGGGTCAGACGGGAGACTCCGAATCCTGATTATCATCACTGGCTAAAAATAGACCAGACTGTGCGTTCTTGGATTTTTGCTACACTTGCTAGAGATATTCTCATGGAAGTTTATGACTTAAAATACTCCAATTTAATTTGGGATCGTCTTCAGAAAAGGTTTATGGCAGCTTGTCTTTCACGTTCCATTGAACTTAAAAGATCGTTGTCTCATGTGAAAAAGAAAGAGTCTCAATCTATGGATCAATATCTGTTAGAGATTAAAATTATGGCAGATTCTCTAGCAGCTATTAATTCTCCAGTCAGTGAACGTGATCTTGTTGAGTATGCCATCATTGGTCTGGGACGTGGATTTGAGTCTCTCATTACCTCCATTGACTACTTCCCAATACAAGTCACACTTGAAAATTTACGTCCTATACTCCAAGCTCAAGAGCAGCGAAACGCCTTTCTCAACAGCCAGGAATCGGCTCCAGTGCACCAGGCCTTCATTGCGGCACCAGCACAGGCCCCAGCACATGCAGGCCGAGGGGGTGCTCGGGGTGGTGGTCCTCCACGTGGACCAGGTGGTGGCCGAGGATATAGAGGTGGCCGACCTCGTGGTGGACGAGGCCGGGGTGGTCGCGGTGGATACTACCAGCAGCAGCAACCGTATGGTGCTCAGCCATACGGTGGATATCATGGGCAGCAGCCTATTCCTCCACCGCCACATCCTCCTGCATTCTCTGGGGTCCCAGGTTCGGCATCGTGTAATCTCACTTCTGGTAGTAATTATACTGTTTATTTTCCTACTTCTGCTACTCACAACTTTAGTGCAGGTTTTCCATCTGTGGATGCTTCCTACCAAAATCCTCCAAATCCAGTTGTTTGCCAGTTGTGTTTTTCTCCAGGTCACTCCGCACTAAACTGTTCCCGTTTCATTGGCTCCAATTCTCCCGCTCTAGCTGTTATGCCCACTGGTGAGACTAATGACTCGGTTTGGTATCCTGACTCGGGGGCTTCCGCTCATATGACTCCTCATGAAGGTATTCTATCTTATAAAACTCCTTACACTGGCCCAAATCAAGTATGTGTCGCTAACGGTACACAATTACCTATTTCTCACATTGGTCAGTTAAAGCTTGTCACACATGGTCGCCCGCTAAGTCTTAACTCAGTTTATCATGTCTCTCACATTAAATATAATTTACTTTCTATTCAAAAATTGTGTGCGGACAATGCCTGTCAAGTAATTTTTGATAAAAATTCTTTTTCTGTTAAGGACAACCAAACGGGGGAGCTTCTTCTTCAGGCAACCAAATAACCAATAAAGACCATGTTTATCCCTTCCATGCCCTTCAAGTCCGAGTTGTCCCTGGTCCAGTTTGGCACAAGCGTCTGGGGCATTGTGGTGATAGAGTTCTTGGAAGTCTTAGGCAGCAAAATTTAATTTCTAATTCTTCTTCTTTTTTACATGATTGTGTTTCTTGTAAACTGGGTAAATCCCACAGACTCCCTTTCAATGATGCTACTCATGACTCCACTGCACCTTTACAACTCATTCATTCTGATGTTTGGCAATCGCCAATTTTATCCAACCTTGGTTTTAAATATTATGTGTCTTTCATTGATGATTTTTCTAGGTATACTTGGATATATCCTATGCGTAGGAAATCTGAAGTGTTTACTCATTTTTCTAATTTCCAAAAGCTTGTTGAAAATTTGTTGAATTTAAAAATAAAAGTTTTTCAGAGTGATGGTGGTGGCGAGTTTGATAATAATGTGTTTCGAGAACACTTCTTGAATTCTGGAATTTTATTTAGAAAGTCTTGTCCGGATACTCCAGCTCAAAATGGCGTAGCAGAAAGAAAACATAAACATTTACTTGAATTAACTAGGACTATGCTAATTGATTCCGCTATTCCTGGTCAATTTTGGGTTGATGCTTTGTACACTGCGGTGTTTATTATTAATCGTCTTCCTACGCCTATTTTGGGTGGACTTACTCCGTATGAAAAACTTTTTAATAAAATCCCGGATTATAATTTTTTGCGCGTGTTTGGTTGTTCATGTTTTCCAAATTTTATTGCTGCCTCTCATAACAAGCTCTCACCCCGCTCTACGCACTGTGTTTTCATTGGATATGCCCCGGGTTACAAGGGCTATCGTTGTCTTTCTCCTTCTACCGGTCGTGTTTATGTTAGTCGGGATGTTACTTTTCATGAAAATAGTTTTCCGTATCCACGTTTAATCCCCAAACCAGCTGATACTACACCATCACTCCCATCGTCCTGGCTTTCTTCATCTGGCCGTACAGTGTCCCCAGCCCTCCCTACCAATAACCTGGACCAAACCTCCAATATGCCACCTCTTCCTACACCAGAACACTCACCCACAACAACAACACCTCTGACACCTCACTCAACCCCATCTGCTTCCCCACCAGGCCGAACATCATCCCAGTTCTATGACTTCTACCCACCAGTCCACTACTATACCATTATCCCCATCAACCCGTAGCTCAGCCTCCACACCCTCGGAAAACAGTCCGCCACCTGCTCTCCAAAATATTCACCCCATGCGTACTCGTGCCAAAGATGGCATTTTTAAACCTAAACCCATTTTTAATTTGAGTGTTGTCTCTCCCCCTGAGGATCCTACTTGTTTTACACATGCTAATAAGAGTAATATTTGGCGGGCAGCCATGGCTGATGAATTTAATTCCTTGATTGCTAATAAAACTTGGGATTTGGTACCTTGGGACCATACTAAAAATGTGATTGGCTGTAAGTGGATTTATAAGACAAAATATCTCTCTGATGGGTCTGTTGAACGTCATAAAGCTCGATTAGTTGCTCAGGGTTTTAAACAACAAGCCGGCGTTGATTTCACTGAAACATTTAGTCCTGTGGTTAAACCCACTACTGTTCGTCTTCTTTTATCTGTTGCCATTTCCTTGGGGTGGTCTGTCAGACAACTAGATGTCAAAAATGCTTTTCTACATGGTTACTTAAGTGAGGAGGTATACATGCGTCAACCTCAAGGCTTTGTTCATCCTTCTTTTCCTAATCATGTTTGTCGTCTACGAAAAGCTCTCTATGGTCTCAAACAGGCTCCCAGAGCCTGGTTTCATCGCTTCAGTGGTTTCTTGTTGAGTCATGGTTTTTCTCAAAGCAAGTCTGATTCTTCCATGTTCATTTACCGTTCTCAGTCCCAGGTCGTCTATATTTTACTATATGTGGATGATATTCTGATCACAGGTTCTTCTCCTTTATTTGTTAAATCTGTCATTCACAAACTTTCTCTTCAGTTTGCTATGAAGGATCTGGGAGACCTTCATTATTTTTTGGGCATACAGGCCCGTCGCACATCACATGGGCTATTCTTGTCTCAGGAAAAATATATTTCAGATCTTTTGCACCGTTTTCATCTTCATACCGTCAAACCGGTACGTACTCCTCTTCCTTCACGCACTACTCTTTCTCTCACAGATGGGGAACTTCTAGCTGATGCCACTGAGTATCGCAGTATGGTAGGAGCTCTACAGTATTTAATTATAACTAGACCTGATATTACATATGCTGTTCATATGGTATCTCAGTTTATGCATGCCCCACGTACTGCTCATTTATTAGCTGTTAAGCGAATTTACAGGTACCTACAGGGCACTTCGAGCCATGGACTGTGGCTACGGTCTGACAAGAATATTTCTGTCATTATGGCTTATTCTGATGCAGATTGGGCTGGTTGTCCTGACAGCTCCCGTTCTACTACTGGCTATGCCATTTTTCTGGGATCAAATTTAATCTCTTGGCGGTCCAAGAAACAACCCACGGTGTCAAAATCTTCTACTGAAGCGGAGTACAGGGCCATAGCCTATACTGTTCAGGACACTCTTTTTGTTCGCTCACTGTTGGTCGACATGGGGATTGTTATTTCTACTCCTGTTCAGCTACATTGTGATAATGTGTCTGCATCATACTTAGTAGTAAATCCCATCCAGCATGATCGTAGCAAGCATATCAAGATTGACTATCATTTTGTCCGAGAACGCGTGGCGCATGGAGATCTTGTTGTGAAGTACATACCCACTCAGTTGCGGCTTGCTGATATATTTACCAAGAATTTATCTAGTCAGCGTTTTGAATTTTTGCGTTCCAATCTGCGCGTTGTTTCCCCTGCACAGATTGAGGGGGTGTAATAATGTATTTATCTAGGGATTACTTTGTAATCTTCAGCACTATGTTTTATTATAAATATAAGGTCAAGGCACCCAAGAGGGTAAGCCATTATTTTCCCAAAATTATTATTTTGTATAATTGCCTCCCATCTTGTCGCATTTCCTTTCTTGATCTGGTCATTTTTCCACAAAATTTTAATGTATATGTTTTTAAGCTTCAATTCCCAAGCTCCTCCCTATCTTTTTTACCTTTTAAATAGACTTTCAGTTCTTTAAATGTTTTAAATTCTTGAAATGCAAAAAAAAAAACAAACCCAATCGGGATTGGAACGGCCAAATACGGTCCCAAAAATCCCAACCTGGGATATTTCCTATGCTTTTTTTTTTATATAGATGAATAGATTATATCACACTTTCTTTCAATGCATAGTACATTTTGTAAATAATTAAGACCATCATCATTTCTCTAACACTCGTGTAATCTGAATATATAAGATTTAGGAAAGAATAATATTTTATTGAGTAAAATCTTTTTCTCTCTTGCTTTACAAAGGATCCGAGTATATCTATATATACATGTATAACTGTATAAGATGCTATGGCTGAGATAAATTGAGCCCTTGGCCCACTTAATATAACATATATACAATGTATAGTGAAGGCCCACCACACTCTAATACCCCCCTCAAGTTGGAGCGTGGGGATCAAACATGCCCAACTTGCGCAACAGATGATGAAACTGACGCTTGCCAAGAGCCTTTGTAAATATGTCCGCCAATTGGTCAGTAGTAGAGACATGTATGGCCGAAATCAGACCTTCCTGTAGGGCATCCCGAACATAATGACAATCGACCTCAATGTGCTTAGTGCGTTCATGAAATACCGGGTTATGAGCAATATGTAAAGCAGAACGACTATCACAGTATAATGATATAGGTCGGGGGTGAGCAATGTCAAAATGAAGCAGAAGACTCTTCAGCCACTTCAATTCCACAGTAATAGTCGCCATAGACCGGTACTCAGCTTCAGTGGATGAACGAGATACGGTGTGTTGCTTCTTGGTCTTCCAAGATATGGGAGATCCACCAAGAAAGACTAACCATCCCGAAAGAGATCGTCGGGTGAGTGGACAGCTGGCCCAATCAGAATCACACCACCCTGTAAGTGTCAAATCACTAGAAGAACGAAGTAGAATCCCCTGCCCAGTAGACCCTTTGAGGTAACGTACAACCCGAAGAGCCGCATGCCAATGTTCCTGTCGCGGAGCCTGCATAAACTGAGACAGAATATGAACAGTGATGGTCCCTGAAAGAGGTAAAAGTCTAGAGGGGGGGGGTGAATAGACTTTTAAAGTTCTTTCCTATTTTTAAAGAGTTTCCCTCATAGGTATGATGATCTATAATCTTTTGAGAGATTTAGGATCACAGCGGAAGTTATGACCTCTTTTTGACTGTGAATGGTAACTTTCTTATGAGAGGATAAGAGGGAAGGGGTATTTGTATTTAGGACAACTTATCTTTAGTGACTGAAGTGAATAGGAGAATGGAGACTCTGCTTTGAAGATCTTTCAGTGAGATCCTCTGATGGCCTTGAATCAGAGATCCTTGAGTGAGGTCCTCTGGTAACCTTGAGTCAGAGACCCTTGAGTGAGGTCCTCTGATGATTTAGAGTCAGAGACCCTTGTGTGAGGTCCTCTGATGATCTTGAATCAGAGACTCTTGTGTGAGGTCCTCTGATGATCTTGAATCAGAGACTCTTGAGTGAGGTACTCTGATGATCTTTAGTCAGAGACTCTTGTGTGAGGTCCTTTGATGATCTCGAATCAGAGTAAATAAGATTGACACGAGATGTATCCTGGTTCAGAGGTGGTGTAATCCTCCTACATCCAGTCCCATCCTCTTTCAGATGGATTTCCACTAAAGTATTCAGCCCAATACAATTAGTGACCGTCTGGCTGTTATCACCAACTTGCTCAGACTTCAAGATGTTTCACTGAGAGTACACACCACTCCTAGCTACTCAATCCTTTAGGTTTTTCTCAATTGATCCAGTGGGGATCAAAAGGTACTCTATCCTATTCTACCACACTTAAGGACTTAGATGACGCTATCCTTATAAGTGTTTACAACAGTTCCAATATGAAATAAATTTCTAGCCTCCAACTAAAAAAAAACTAAACTTTCTGAGTGTATCAATGAGGATTTCTGTTCTAGAAGGTTTAGTGAAGCATGAGTCTAAGCAGAGAGCAGAATGTAATGAGCCCTTTCTCTTTTTGCTAGATATCTTCTTTGTGTAGTATGATTTCTCTGCTTAGTGAACTCAGGAGCTTGTTTTTCTTCTCATGCTTATGCCCGAATTTATAGGCATCTCTGGTTGATTAATCTCCTCCGTTGGTTAAGAGGATTTAATCTATGTCGTTGAGGCTTCTTGTACTTTTGTCTTCTTGTGTTGGAGCAGCTTATCTTCAGACGCAATTGGAGCAACTTGCTTTGCAGGAAATGTAAACCCATTCCTTGGTTCTTTTACGCACTATTCACCATCTAGTGGGATTTTGTCTTCACAGGCAACTCTGGAGTGTCTCGTGATTATACAGCTCTTTAAGTAAAATTTGTGACTCTGGTTCTTGTGTACAAAATTAATTTGTACTGGTAGGATTTAAATATCCTTTTTAAGGTAAAGAAGAATTTACCTTATTGCATTTTATATTTCCAGTAAAATTAATTTTGTACATAAGATGTACATGTAAGATTAGTCACAATTTTACTAGTGACAATAATAAAATTGTAACCCAAAAATAAATATACTGATTGGATTTGAATATCCTGGAAAGGTAGGAATTTACCTTATTGCATTTTATATTTCCAGTATATTTATTTTGTGACACAATTTATATGTTCCTAATTTTGTCACCTTCCTTCCTTTTTGGACCATACTTCAGTTCACACAATGATCATTCAATATTGAATAGAGAATTTAAACATCAAGGGAGGATGACATCATCAAAACTATATTTCATCAAAGTCTGAGGGGCCTAACAATTTCCCCCTTTTTGATGATGCCAAAACAAAAACTAGATTCTGAATACATAAGACAAAAATAAGCTAGATTCTATTTTCCCCCTTTTTGGCAGCAGCTCAAACCTAGATTAGTTCTGTCTCCTAGATGATTCTCCTTCATCCAGTTTTCTTTTTCTTCGATTTCTTTTGAGTTGGTCTAATTTTTGGTTGTAGACCTTCTCAATGAGTTCCTGGGAAAGGGCTTCTTCTATGGAGCTTGCTCCCAACCATTGGAGAGCAAATTCTTCTTCTTTTGGGATGAGGGGTGCCATAAGAAGAAGTTGGTCGATTGGAGCGTGTCTCCAATACCTCCACTTTAGGACTCTCTTTCTTTCTTGGTCGAGAGAATCCTTGTCAGTGGTGTATATTATCCATGACTCTAGGTCACTGATGAATTTATCAGGAGCATTTGGGGGGCCTAAGGAGAGATTTAGGTTGAGTCTGTGATGTGCCATTAGAGTGTTTTGGCTTAAGGTGTGTTTGAAGAGGATCTTTTAGTAGGGATGGTTGCAAAAGAAGCTTGTTTATTTGAGGATTAACCTGGATATTTATACTTGCATGCATCGTTTGGGATTCTTGGTTGAGAAATCAAGGCGTATTAAAGGAATTACGGCTTGATGTTCTTTTCAAGAATAAAATCAGCATAGATAAAAGAGAAAAATTGGTTGGAGGAGCTTACCAATTTAATGATGTTGCTTCCCAAGATTTTCTTGAATCACCATGTGTCGTAGTTGCATGCATGCGTAGATTCCTGACTCCTTTTGTTAAAGTGATTCTACCTCTGGGCTCTGGTTGAGGTAGTCGTCTGTTGTAGTTTAAGAGATTGTCTGTGATGTCTTCTCCGTTGGTTAGGTCCGAGACCTTCTGATAGTTTTTTGAGATTTCTGATCTGAGGTCTTCTGATAGTATTCAAGCCTTCTGATCTGGGGTCTTCTGATAGTTATTCAGACCTTCTGATCTGTGGTCTTCTGATAGACAGGCTTTCTGATCTGAGGTCTTCTGATATTTATTCAGACCTTCTGATCTGTGGTCTTCTGATAGACAGGCTTTCTGATCTGAGGTCTTCTGATAGTATTCAGACCTTCTGATCTGGGGTCTTCTGATAGACAGTTGAGACCTTCTGTATAAGGACCATAGAGCTTCATTCCCTTGTCTTTGTGTGCTCCAACTTCTTTGATGCTCATTTTGATAGAGGCTTGAGTACATCTTCCCACTCATAATTGAGTTCTTTGAGTGGAATTCCCCCTGAGTTGTTGCAGACTTTATTCTCTACTTTGATCCAGATCATCAAGCATTCCTAGGTCTTGTCTTAGAGAATTGAATCTGGCTTCATTTAAGGGCTTAGTGAAGATGTCAGCCAGCTGCTTTTCTGTGGGGATGTACTCTAATCTGATGGTTTTCTTCTCAACATGTTCTCTGATGAAATGGTGTCTGATCTCAATATGCTTGGTTCTTGAGTGAAAGACTGGATTATGAGTTATTGCAATAGCACTTGTGTTGTCACACAGAATGCTGACCTCCTTTGTTTCTTCTCCATAATCCTTTAATTGCTGCTTCATCCATAGTATTTATGCACAGCAGCTGCCTGCTGCTATGTATTCTGCTTCAGCAGTGCTTGTGGCAATTGAGTGTTGTTTCTTACTGAACCAAGAAACAAGTCTTCCTCCAATCATTTGACAAGTTCCAGAGGTGCTTTTTCTGTCAATTTTGCACCCAGCAAAGTCTGAGTCTGAATATCCATATAGATCAAAATTTCCATTTGTTGGATACCATAATCCAGAGTTAGGATTTCCTTTTAGATATCGTAGGATTTTCTTTGCTGCAAGAAGATGGCTTTCTTTGGGTTTTGATTGAAATCTTGCACATACCCCAACTGAGTAGGAGATATCTGGCCTACTAGTTGTAAGATATAGCAGAGAGCCAATCAGACCTCTATAGAGTGTAGGATCAGTGTCTTTGCCATCTTCATCTGGAGTCAGTCCTTGAGAGGTGTTCATGGGGATCTTTACAGTAGACTTGTTCTCAATTTTGAATTTCTTCATGAGATCTCTTGTGTACTTTG